AGGCTGGATCCTCCATGCCAGGAGTGATGGAGGCTGGATCCTCCATGCCAGGAGTGATGGAGGCTGGATCCTCCATGCCAGGAGTGATGGAGGCTGGATCCTCCATGCCAGGAGTGATGGAGGCTGGATCCTCCATGCCAGGAGTGATGGAGGCTGGATCCTCCATGCCAGGAGTGATGGAGGCTGGATCCTCCATGCCAGGAGTGATGGAGGCTGGATCCTCCATGCCAGGAGTGATGGAGGCTGGATCCTCCATGCCAGGAGTGATGGAGGCTGGATCCTCCATGCCAGGAGTGATGGAGGCTGGATCCTCCATGCCAGGAGTGATGGAGGCTGGATCCTCCATGCCAGGAGTGATGGAGGCTGGATCCTCCATGCCAGGAGTGATGGAGGCTGGATCCTCCATGCCAGGAGTGATGGAGGCTGGATCCTCCATGCCAGGAGTGATGGAGGCTGGATCCTCCATGCCAGGAGTGATGGAGGCTGGATCCTCCATGCCAGGAGTGATGGAGGCTGGATCCTCCATGCCAGGAGTGATGGAGGCTGGATCCTCCATGCCAGGAGTGATGGAGGCTGGATCCTCCATGCCAGGAGTGATGGAGCCTGGATCCTCCATGCCAGGAGTGATGGAGGCTGGATCCTCCATGCCAGGAGTGATGGAGGCTGGATCCTCCATGCCAGGAGTGATGGAGGCTGGATCCTCCATGCCAGGAGTGATGGAGGCTGGATCCTCCATGCCAGGAGTGATGGAGGCTGGATCCTCCATGCCAGGAGTGATGGAGGCTGGATCCTCCATGCCAGGAGTGATGGAGGCTGGATCCTCCATGCCAGGAGTGATGGAGGCTGGATCCTCCATGCCAGGAGTGATGGAGGCTGGATCCTCCATGCCAGGAGTGATGGAGGCTGGATCCTCCATGCCAGGAGTGATGGAGGCTGGATCCTCCATGCCAGGAGTGATGGAGGCTGGATCCTCATGCCAGAGTGATGGAGGCTGGATCTCCATGCAGGAGTGATGGAGGCTGGATCCTCCATGCCAGGAGTGATGGAGGCTGGATCCTCCATGCCAGGAGTGATGGAGGCTGGATCCTCCATGCCAGGAGTGATGGAGGCTGGATCCTCCATGCCAGGAGTGATGGAGGCTGGATCCTCCATGCCAGGAGTGATGGAGGCTGGATCCTCCATGCCAGGAGTGATGGAGGCTGGATCCTCCATGCACTAAGCGTGAGTCCAGCCTCGCAACTTGTTGCCTCACCCAACATACACCAACGTGATCACACGGATACATAATAAACTAACTACCATCTTCGACTTCAAAATGTAATCTAGGAAATGCCAAGGTCAATATATCGTTGATTCTGTCTGCAACTTTTAAAAACACATATAGCAGACCTCAATAATCTTAATGCACGACAAGTACAAATGTGCTGTTGCTTCCTCTGTAACAAGAATTACTCCGATTGTTTCAGCACCGTGTTTTTTACCCCGTGTTTGAGCACCGTGTTTGTGTCTAGCTAGTTGTACAGTAGTTGTTGTTTTCGTTTACTGTAAACTATTTTAAAGATCTGAGAACAAGTTAAGTGCCACCCTTCATTACCATATATTGGAGCTGCTACAGAAAATCATTGCTAATTTCTGTGATAAAATCTGAGGCACAATGTAAAATTAAATAAATGCAGGGTAAAAAATTGAAAGTAATTACGTAATGAGCAGTAAAATTAATATATAAGCTAAAAATATAATGGAAAATATATCTCAACGTAATATGAGAAGATAGGAAGATATAGCATTAAAATTACAGGAATTTTGTGCAAGATTCACTACAGTGACAGCTTACATAATGTTCTGTTATGGAAATAGGACGTAAAACTGTCCATAAACTAGTAAGGAAAATTGCCTTTGCTTCTTACACGCCTTAACGCAGCTTCGTTTATCCTCGTTCTATGGTTCATCTCTTCTTTCAGAAACCTGCCCGGCGACATGTCCACTCCCGCATATCTGAACACATTCACTCCCTTCATATTCCATCCTTCCAGTCTGGTAGCCAGTCTTTCATTGCCTGTAATGTTTGATACAATCGTCATCTTGTTTTCTATACTCTCTGAATTTCCTTCTTTTACGTACCTTCCCAAATTCCTCTGCTCACCTCTGCAACCTCTCTTCAGCTTCGTTATATTTTAACCCATAAGCATATTTTGGGTGTACTGGTGATCATACGAGCTAAGAGAAGTTGTTTGGCGATCTACGGGTGGATCGCGATCAACGCTGGTAACACCTGATTCCGTTGTTAGTGACTTTGGAAAGAATAATAGCACGAGTCGAGTTCTGTTTGTTCCCATAGAAAGTGATTCCTTTATCTTCCTGTTGTTCCGCCATGTCAACACATTATTCAAACTATTAATAATAATAATCTTTATTTCTACACGTACATGATACAGTTAAACAGACCATAGTTGGCATCAGTGACATAGTATACGGAAAGCCCCTTTTGGATAACATGGGTTAATTTTGTCCTTAGGATGCGACCTACATCAGTCGGCTAACAGCCAGGTACCTACTTCCTGCTAGGTGAACAGGGGCAACAGGCGCAATTAAGCACGCCCAGTGTTTTCACCCGTACTGGGGATCGAACCACGGACACTCAGTGTATGAGCTGAGTGCACTACCAACCGAGCTAATGTTGTCATGTTCTATACTTGAGTGTGCAGACAGCGAATCATTCTGGCTAGTGCGTACGGAACATCTTTGTTGATACAATCAACGTTGAAACATTTGTTTTCCCCGTAAAACATTCATCGCAATCAGCAGGAAGAACTTTCTTGAGGTCAACATTATTCTTTGTCTTCCCAAGACCTTTTTTGTTTTACAAATGACTTACTATGTTGCAATTACTGAAGGCAAGTTTTTTGTTTAGTAAAATCAAATAACAATATGCCGCCCCCTAACTTGATAAGGGAGTTACATAGTGGGAACTAAAGCTAGCTCTTTCACTGCCATATTCCATCATATATGGTAGGTTACAGTTTTAAAGTGTGCCAGCCTGAGCTAGGACGATGAAAATATAAAATATTCTGCTAAATATTCATCAGTTATAAGACTTTCAAATGTTTCCTTACAGCAGAGCTAAAGTTTATGTTGCTTAAGGGCTGTATTAAGTATTACCATCACTCAGTATAGCCTCTCCCTTATACACCAGTCTCAGTAGTAGTAACCAGTTACCAGTAACCAGTGTACCAGTAGATGACTCACTACCAACCGTCTCTGCCTGAGTCAGTGGGAGCTAAGTCTTTCTCCTCAACTGGTGGAACAGATTGATCCAGTGAAGTGGATGAGGTCTCTTACCATCACTCAGTATAGCCTCTCCCTTCTACACCAGAAATGAAGTTTTATGAAGTTTTATTCATCATCATACAAAGGAAGAACACGAATTATGTAGAAAGAAGAGAACACACATACCTACACATACACACATCCATATATATATATATATGTCGTGCCGAATAGGCAGAACTTGCGATCTTGGCTTAAATAGCAACGCTAATCTTGCCATATAGGACAAGCGAAAATTTGTGTATGCAATAATTTCGCCAAAATAATTCTGAACCTAACGAAAAAAATGTATTTCATTGTGTTTATTTAGTATTAAATTATTGTAAACAAATCTAAAATATATTTAGTTGGGTTAGGCTAAAATAAATTGCTCTTGTTATAATAGGGTTAGGTAAGTTTTCTAAGATTCTTTTGGTGCAAAATTAATTTTTTTTTACATTAACATTAATGAAAAAATATATCTTTAAACATAGAGAAAATTTCAGAAAGGACTTAATTTTAAACGAGTTCTTGCTAATTGACCAGTTTTACATATTCGGCACGATTATATATATATATATATATATATATATATATTATATATATATATATATATATATATATATATATTATATATAATTGTGTGTGTGTGTGTGAGAAACTATGAGTGAGTATGCATCTACGTAAAAGTTAGCATAAATGTTCTCCTAATTATTGGGAACAAACCTGGGATGAATAATGGGGACAATCCTCTACCACAACAAAGTACATAAATTATTTACACAGTTACAAGTATAACATTCCACCAGGCCTGAAGTAACTAACAAATGAACATTCCACTACATCATGCTACCAGGCGTGTGCCTTCTCTCTTACGCAGAGCTGACATGTGGTATAGACAGAGCTAGGAGATTCACCCGTGATGACTGCGGTCATCTGCCCCCAAGTGACGATATCTCAACCAGATTCTGGCACTCAATGTATCAAATAATCTCTGGGACTTCTTTTTATGCTGCCATATACGTGGTTTTAGGATCGGAGGTTGTGTTAGATACCAGTGGTCTCGTGTTTAAGAGTCCCTTTATCTACCAGAACGGATATATCTCAGTAGTGTGGTTGTAAACATGGAGGGAGGGATCACCTTACTGTGGAAGAATCTCTTTGGGGCGCAACTAATTTCGTTCATGTTATGTAGAACTTAAGTTTTGTAGTTTAGTAGTTTTTCTTTGACATTGTAAGCAAGTTTTGGCGTTGTAAAGAATCTTTGGTACATTAGACACGATTTGGCAGTTGTCCATTACGATTTAACTTAGGTTTATAGACTGTATGGCTTTGAGGGTTATGATAAAAGATGCGGTATGAGAGCTGTGTGGCTGTGGGATGAGACAGTTGCGTCACAGTTGGTGGCTGCTGGCACAACCATGTCACAAATATGATGTAAAACCGTCCAGTTAGAACCCTCGTGGCTGAATGGTTACAGCGTCCCATCTGTACAATGTTTTCCACTGTAAACAAACTTAATTTCTTTATTCCATTCCTTTTTATTTTTATTCAGTGATTTCTTTTTCTCAAATTTGTATTTATGTATTTTTGTAGGCTCTCATGTATACTTGTATATGTGTATGTATCTTTCAGTGTGAGCACAGTGTTATATTTTGAAGGTTCGGGTGATGACCTTTGACCTCTCCCGACAGGTTCATCGTCATCGTCTTCCCGATGAGGTCACGTTCGTTGTGTACAATGAGTAACTGTCGGCGCTCCGTCCTCTTCGTGTGGGTGGCCTCCCTCCTGCTGGCCTGCCCCATCATCAAGGTCATGGTAGGTCAACTTGACTCGTGCTGGGTTATGGTAGGTTATGCTGGGTCATACTGGATCATGCTGGGTCATATTGGATCATGCTTGGTCATAGTAGGTCATAATGGATCATACTGGGTCGTGGTAGATCATAATGGATCATGGTAGGTCATACTGGATCATGCTGGGGCATAGTAGGTCATACTGCATCTCGCTGGGTCATACTGGATCATATTGGGCCATGCTGGATCATACTGGGCCACACTGGGGTCATGCTGGATCATACTGGGTTATACTGGGCCATGCTTGATCATACTGGGTCACGCTGGAGCATTCTGGACCATGCTGAGTCATGCTGGATCATACTAGGCCATGCTGGGTCATACTGGATCTTGCTGGGTCATATTGGATCATACTGGGTCATACTGGGCCATGTTTGATCATACTAGGTCATACTGGATCATACTAGGCCATGCTGGATCATACTGGGTCATGCTAGATCACACTAGGTCATACTGGATCATAGTAGGTCATGCTGGATCACACTAGATCATGCTGGATCATACTAGGTCATGCTGGATCACACTAGGTCATGCTGGATCATACTACGTCATGCTGGATCACACTAGGTCATGCTGGATCACACTAGGTCATGCTGGATCATACTAGGTCATGCTGGATCATACTAGCTCATGCTGGATCATACTAGGTCATGCTGGGTCATACTAGGCCATGCTGGATCATACTAGGTCATGCTGGGTCATACTAGGTCATTCTGGATCATACTAGGTCATGCTGGATCACACTAGGTCATGCTGGATCATACTAGGTCATGCAGGATCACACTAGGTCATGCTGGATCATACTAGGTCATGCAGGATCACACTAGGTCATGCTGGATCATACTAGGTCATGCTGGATCACACTAGGTAATGCTGGATCACACTACGTCATGCTGGACCAAACTAGGTCATGCTGGATTATACTAGGTCATGTTGGATCACACTAGGTCATGCTGGATCATACTAGGTCATGCTGGGTCATACTAGGCCATGCTGGGTCATACTAGGTCATGCTGGGTCATACTAGGTCATGCTGGGTCATACTACGTCATGCTGGGTCATACTAGACCATGCTGGATCATACTAGGTCATGATGGATCATACTAGGTCATGCTGGATCACACTAGGTCATGCTGGGTCATACTAGGCCATGCTGGGTCATACTAGACCATGCTGGGTCATACTAGGCCATGCTGGGTCATACTAGGTCATGCTGGGTCATACTAGGTCATGCTGGGTCATACTAGGTCATGCTGGGTCATACTAGGTCATGCTGGGTCATGCTAGGCCATGCTGGGTCATACTAGGCCATGCTGGGTCATACTAGGCCATGCTGGGTCATACTAGGTCATGCTGGGTCATACTAGGCCATGCTGGGTCATACTAGGTGATGCTGGGTCATATTAGGCCATGCTGGATCATGCTAGGTCATGCTGGGTCATACTGGGTCATGCTGGATCATACTAGGTCATGCTGGGTCACACTAGGTCATGCTGGATCATACTAGGCCATGCTGGGTCATACTAGGTGATGCTGGGTCATACTAGGCCATGCTGGATCATGCTAGGTCATGCTGGGTCATACTGGGTCATGCTGGATCATACTAGGTCATGCTGGGTCACACTAGGTCATGCTGGATCATACTAGGCCATGCTGGGTCATACTAGGTGATGCTGGGTCATACTAGGCCATGCTGGATCATGCTAGGTCATGCTGGATCATACTAGGTCATGCTGGGTCACACTAGGTCATGCTGGGTCACACTAGGTCATGCTGGATCATACTAGGTCATGCTGGGTCACACTAGGTCATGCTGGATCATACTAGGTCATGCTGGGTCATACTAGGTCATGCTGGGTCACACTAGGTCATGCTGGATCATACTAGGTCATGCAGGATCACACTAGGTCATGCTGGATCATACTAGGTCATGCTGGGTCACACTAGGTCATGCTGGGTCACACTAGGTCATGCTGGATCACACTAGGTCATGCTGGGTCACACTAGGTCATGCTGGGTCACACTAGGTCATGCTGGGTCATACTAGGTCATGCTGGGTCATACTAGGTCATGCTGGATCATACTAGGTCATGCAGGATCACACTAGGTCATGCTGGATCATACTAGGTCATGCTGGGTCACACTAGGTCATGCTGGATCATACTAGGTCATGCTGGGTCATACTGGGTCATGCTGGGTCACACTAGGTCATGCTGGATCATACTAGGTCATGCAGGATCATACTAGGTCATGCTGGATCATACTAGGTCATGCTGGATCATACTAGGTCATGCTGGGTCACACTAGGTCATGCTGGGTCACACTAGGTCATGCTGGATCACACTAGGTCATGCTGGGTCATACTGGGTCATGCTGGGTCACACTAGGTCATGCTGAATCACACTAGGTCATGCTGGATCACACTAGGTCATACTGGGTCATGCTGGGTCACACTAGGTCATGCTGGGTCACACTAGGTCATGCTGGATCACACTAGGTCATGCTGGATCACACTAGGTCATGCTGGGTCATGCTGGGTCACACTAGGTCATGCTGGGTCACACTAGGTCATGCTGGGTCATACTAGGTGATGCTGGGTCATACTAGGCCATGCTGGATCATGCTAGGTCATGCTGGGTCATACTGGGTCATGCTGGATCATACTAGGTCATGCTGGGTCACACTAGGTCATGCTGGATCACACTAGGCCATGCTGGATCACACTAGGTCATGCTGGATCACACTAGGTCATGCTGGATCACACTAGGTCATGCTGGATCATACTGGGTCATGCTGGATCATACTAGGTCATGCTGGGTCACACTAGGTCATGCTGGGTCACACTAGGTCATGCTGGATCACACTAGGCCATGCTGGGTCACACTAGGTCATGCTGGGTCACACTAGGTCATGCTGGATCACACTAGGTCATGCTGGATCACACTAGGTCATGCTGGGTCACACTAGGTCATGCTGGGTCACACTAGGTCATGCTGGATCATACTGGGTCATGCTGGATCATACTAGGTCATGCTGGGTCACACTAGGTCATGCTGGGTCACACTAGGTCATGCTGGATCATACTGGGTCATGCTGGATCATACTAGGTCATGCTGGGTCACACTAGGTCATGCTGGGTCACACTAGGTCATGCTGGGTCACACTAGGTCATGCTGGGTCACACTAGGTCATGCTGGGTCACACTAGGTCATGCTGGGACACACTAGGTTATGCTGGATCACACTAGGTCATGCTGGGTCATACTGGGTCACCATACACTGGGATAGGTCAATAATTGCACCGTAATATCAGCTTTATGGTCATAACTCACCTAGATCATTAACATTTCAAGGTAATCTTATAATGGAGAGGCTTCTTTTAAAAGCTGGTGATGAATCCTCTTACTGAGGCTTCCGCACCACTCCCTCCATTCCTCTTGCTTCCTCTCATTCTCTCTTCTTCTTCATTCCCTTTTCTCTTGCTTCCTCTCATTCTCTCTTCTGCTTCATTCCCTTGATTGCCTCCTCTCATTCTCAGGGATAAACCTATACATTATTCTCGCCTGCAGTGAGCTCCATAAACCTTGTTGGAACACGGTGAGCTGCTGGTAGAGCTGAAGGTGCTACTGGGAGAGCTGGAGGTGTTGCTGGTGGTGCTGCTGGTAGAGTTGGAGATGCTGCTGGGAGAGCTGGAGGTGCTGCTGGTAGTGCTGCTGGGAGAGATGGAGGGGCTGCTGGGAGAGCTGGAGGTGCTGCTGAGAGAGCTGCTGGTGGTGCTGCTGGTAGTGCTTGTGGTGCTTCTGGGAGTGCTGGAGGTGCTGCTGGTAGTTCTGGTGATGCTTCTGGCAATGCTGGAGATGCTGCTGGTGCTTCTGGTAGTTCTGGTGATGTTTCTGCTATTGCTGGAGATGATGCCGGTGCTTCTGATGGTGCTGGTGGTGCTTCCGGGAGCGCTGGAGGTGCTGCTGCTGGTGTTTCTGGTGGTGCCGGTGGCTTACCAACAGTGTGAGGGATGACACACATTCGTAAGACTTGACTTGTCTTTACTGCCGTGAAGTTTCAACTGTACAACAAACTTCTTCAGTTGAATACAAATGAAGGTGAGAAGTATCAGCAGTGAAGTGTTGCGGACGTGTCTTATTCAACGATTGTTGCAGACGCGTCTTATTCAACGATTGTTGCAGACGCGTCTTATTCAACGATTGTTGCAGACTCGTCTTATTCAACGAGTGTTGCAGACGCGTCTTATTCAACTAGTGTTGCAGACGCGTCTTATTCAACTAGTGTTGCAGACGCGTCTTATTCAACGAGTGTTGCAGACGCGTCTTATTCAACGAGTGTTGCAGACGCGTCTTATTCAACGAGTGTTGCAGACGCGTCTTATTCAAAAAGTGTTGCAGACGCGTCTTATTCAACTAGTGTTGCAGACGCGTCTTATTCAACGATTGTTGCAGACGCGTCTTATTCAACGATTGTTGCAGACGCGTCTTATTCAACGATTGTTGCAGACGCGTCTTATTCAACGATTGTTGCAGACGCGTCTTATTCAACGATTGTTGCAGACGCGTCTTATTCAACTAGTGTTGCAGACGCGTCTTATTCAACTAGTGTTGCAGACGCGTCTTATTCAACTAGTGTTGCAGACGCGTCTTATTCAACGAGTGTTGCAGACGCGTCTTATTCAACGATTGTTGCAGACGCGTCTTATTCAACGATTGTTGCAGACGCGTCTTAGTCAACGAGTGTTGCAGACGCGTCTTATTCAACGAGTGTTGCAGACGCGTCTTATTCAACGAGTGTTGCAGACGCGTCTTATTCAACGATTGTTGCAGACGCGTCTTATTCAACGATTGTTTCAGGCGCGTCTTATTCAACGAGTGTTGCAGACGCGTCTTAGTCAACGATTGTTGCAGACGCGTCTTATTCAACGATTGTTGCAGACGCGTCTTCAACGAGTGTTGCA